ATAAGGTCTCCCCTCAGCCTTCTCTTCTCCAGACTAAAGAGTCCCAGCTCTCTCAGTCTCTCCTCATAAGGGAGATGCTCCAGTCCTTGAATCATCTTTGTAGCCCTACGCTGGACTCTTTCCAGTAGTTCCCTGTCCCTCTTGAACTGGGGAGCCCAGAACTGGACGCAGGATTCCAGTTGTGGCCTCACCAGTGCAGAGTAGAGGGGGAGAATGACCTCCCTTGACCTGCTGGCCACACTCTTCCCTGTGCAGCCCAGGATTCCGTTGGCCCTCCTGGCCACAAGAGCACATTGCTTGCTCATTGTCATTTTGTTGTCCACCAGGACCCCCAGATCCTTTTCTTCAGAGCTTGTCTCCAGCAGGTCCATGCCTAACCTGTATTGATGCCTAACATCCTTCTTCCCCAGGTGCAGGATCCTGCACTTTTCCCTGTTGAACCTCATGAGGTTTCTTTGCCCTTAAGGCTCCTCACCGCAGGGGAATTTAACACCGGCACGAGGCGTCGCATTTACATTTAGAAAGTTCTGAACCTCCTTTTTTCTCCTGAACTGCAAAAGGCAGAGGCAAGATTAGAACAGTTTCCTTAAACACAGGAGGCGGTGAGCTCCAGCAGCACCAACAGACTGGGGGATGAGTCACCGACGGTAATGAAGGATTTTATCTCTGGTGGAGACCACAGAAAACAGGTGGGATTAGTTTAATTTCTATTGACAGCCTGGCCATTGTGGGTTCCTGGCTGCCGCAGCGGGCTTAGGAGAAAGATGTTGGGATCACTCACCCCCAATCTGATTCTTATGGTCCTACCGATCTTAATCAGGAGGCAATCATGAATTACTCACTCGTTTCCCATTTACATGTTTGTATCGAGTGCTTTTTTACAGTACTGCCTGATGGAGAATATAAAAATGTGAATACTTCCCACCGAAATTCGCCGCTGAGTCACCGCTGAGGGGGAAGGAGCCTTCGCCCTCCTCCGAGCAAGAAATGGGCAAGCACAAGACCCAACACCTGACCTAAAGAAGGGGACCTCTGCCTTCGCAGGCAGGTGAAATAATGTTTAATTAAGAGTATCGACGAGGTTATAGGGTAGGAAGGAAGCAAGTAGAGGGGAAAAGATTATGCCTGGAGTCCTCCAGGGAGCCTGGACAAAAGGAAAATTGGCTCTGGCAGGTACCGTGCTCTGCCACGGAGGAAAGAAAGAGGTTTCTAATGAGGGAGGCTCTAATGGACACAGCCTGAGATGTCAGGAAACGTTGAATACCACCTTGATCAGGATGGGCAGCAAATCAGCTGGACAGGAGAGAGGCGTTTCTAATGGAACCTCACTAAAAGCAGATTAGTCATACGGTGGTTTTTTTCCCCCTTTCTTTCCTGTTCTTTTTCATAACCACTTGTGACAGTATTGCCTGGGTTGGATGTTGTCCATACATACTTTCATCTCAATTTACCTTAATCTGGCTTGCGCTGAATGCATTTCTGAACCGATTTCAAGCCACGCTTCAAACCAAGGCAGTGGCAAATAATCAGCCAGAGGCTCCTGGACACCACCCCCCCAGAGTTATCCAGTTCCCCAAATTCATCCCCCAAAAGGTGAGTGGGCCTCCCACCACCTGGAGGTAGAGATGGACATCTGGCCTCCCACATCTGGGGAGAGAAATATCTTCAGTGATCAATATTGCAAAGTGCCATTCAGCAGGATAATGGGGGGCACCCAGTTTGGGGTCCCAAGGAAATGGGCTGTCCTAAAACAATCAGTAGGAGACCCCCCTGACTCAAAGACAAGGTGGGGAACAGCCACAGAGGATCACAGAATCACTGAATGGGTTGGGTTGGATGATCATCCAACGATCATCATAGTCAACCCCCTCATCATGATGACTGCTGCTAATTTCTAACCAGAGCTGAACTGGAACTAATCTTAGAGATGAGCCCTAACCTTTAGCCAACAACAAAAACCCTTCACGATGTCCTTTCTTAAAATCACAGAACGATATGGGGTTAGAAGGGACCTTCTGAGATCATCTAATCCAACCCCCCTGCCAAAGCAGGTCCACCCAGAGCAGGTCCCACAGGAACGTGTCCAGGTGGGGTTTGAATGTCTCCAGAGAAGGAGACTCCACCACCTCTCTGGGCAGCCTCTTCCGGGGCTCTACCACCCTCAAAGTCAAGAAGTTCCTCCTCCTGTTGAGATGGAACTTCTTATATTCAAGTTTGTGCCCATTTCCTCTTGTCCTGTCACTGGGCACCACTGAAAGAAGACTGGCCCCATCATCTTGACACCCACCTTTAACTATTTATAGGCATATACCTCTACAAATACATGTATTTCTTTCGGAAGAAATCAAAGAGAGTTTGCTACTTAGACAAAACTTTCCTCAAAATCATTAGAGGATGGAAATTCAACCACCCATCCCGGTACTTTGCAGAGTGCAGGCATCAGCGTGGAGCAGGGACCATTCCCTGAAGAGCCAGTTTGGATGTTCTGACACTATTTAGTCGACTAACACTGATGTAGCCATTAAGAGAGAGACTGGCAAATACTGTTGAAGAAAGGACACTGTTAAACAAAACACTGCAACAAAGCATTCATAAAAACACGCAGTGCTAATGAGATAGAGCCCTGTGAGAGACATCCTCAAAGCAGAACCTCCTTTACATGCTTCTCTCTAGAAAGCAGTCGAAATTTTGCAATATGCTGGAGACCCAACCTTGCAGTGCGCTCCCAGATTGAAAAAAAAAATATAATATAAATCTATTTGGAAACGAAAATTAGCAAAACCAAGTTCATCCTCCAATGGAGAAAGAACTTCTGGCTGCGTGTTTATTTCAGATAAAACCTAGAGGAGAACTGCAATTCAAGTGGTAACATCTCCAAGGAAACAGCTGGAAAACTTGTGGTCTGTGCAGATGCTGGAGGATTCTGTACTCAAAGACAAATTGCACCATATTGTACTTGGCACTCCAGGGGGGAGGTAAAAAAAAAAATAAAAAATCGCAGACAAGTTCTTAGTGAGATGCCACAAACTGTGCATGCAGCAAAACAAGACCTCGTGCGCTGAATCTCGGATGCAAAGAGTGTATTCTTCGCATCAGTTTGCTAAAATACAGCTAAAATTAGCAACGTGAATGCTTTTGCAAATCGTTTTTTAGTAATTGCTGTGCGTTTTGTGTTCTCGTCAACAGAAGTGTTCTCTAGCACGGAGGAATCGCGACATCCTCCCTCCACCCATCCTGAGCCAAGGTGGTTGGGATGAAAGAAAGCATTTCTTTCTTGGTGAAAGAAAGCATTTTGCCTTTCTCCTCTCTCCTTTCTGGGGTGGAATGGATGTTTTTGAGCCGTTTACGAAGTTCTCAGTTCAAACTGACACTGCAGCAGCAAGAGGGACACAGGACTGAGATATATCGTAAGGAAACAAGAAATAGGGAATTTGGAGAATATAGAATTATCTTTAAGCATCTAGCTGCTGTCTTGTCACAAGCACTCATCGAGACGACGCGATTTGGCTTTTCGACACCCAGGGCCGTTACGCTGAGGAGCATCGAGAGGCTCCTCAACACTCAGCAGCTGGGATCAAAGTTGGGGTTTTCTCCATTTTGGGGTCTTTTGGTGGGGTGGCACAAGATTATTAATATTTTTAAAGAGTCTATATCCCAGCTATTCCGTTTAAGTCCCCCACATCCGTTAGTCTTACGCCAACAAGAGCTTCTCCTCCCATACAACCCACCAGCTTCCCCAGTTATAAAACCCATGTGGCTCCCCTAACAGCTAACAGAAGACAAATTAAGGTAGTCCCAACTTTGATTTCACAGGCACGCCATGAGCCGATGCCTCTCTCAGACACAATGCTTTGAAAATGAAAGAGGAGAAAAGGGCTGCAGCTCTCTCTCTTGCATCGCTCCCTTCTCCATGATCACGCTTAATGTATCCTAAAAGCACATCTGTCCTCCCTAATGACGGTACTTGCAGAAAGACTCTAAAATGTGAGACCGGCAATTTTCTATCCTTACGAGCTCCGGAAAGCAGCCCCTCGACAATAACAACCCACGAGGTGGGGAATAGCAGCGTTTGGAGGAGGAAGACCCCTGTGGTCTGGCTCCTTCGTCACCCAGCGCAGGACGGTTCCCCGCGGCGTGTCCCCGGTACGTTGCTTACAATAATCTTATTATCTGGACAAAGCCTGCGATGGAATTTGACTCCATTACTTGGAGCATCTGCTTGATGCTCATTTTCTATCTCATACGATGAAAGTTCACAGCAGTGGCGTTGGCTGCAGTGGGTTTATTTTCAGATTAAGACATACGTTGAAAAAAAAAAAAAGGGATAAAGCAAAGATACCTGAAATTACAGCAATTTTCCATGACCCGTGCTCCTCCTTGGCTATTCTTTCCGCCTCCTCCATTAGTAACATACCAAATCCCTATAATGGGAGGAATAACAGGAAGAAAAGGTAAGTTCTGTAAAAATAGAAAGCACAAGCAAGGTCAAAATGTAAGCATTAGTACAGTTTCAAAAGACTCGTATTTTTGGCACAGGAATGATCAAAACCTTATTGCAGGAGAGGGCCTGAGGTGTACCAACACTGAGCTTTACCGTGGAGTGCTCACAGGGCTTTTTTTCTGATGGTGAAATTACTCCCTGGCAGTTCTAGTGCCCGACTGCTTCTCCACGGCAGAAACAGAACGAAGTTAAAGCCATTGATGTTAAGTCAACTTGGTACAAATCCTGTAATTCCTGAACAATTCTACCCTGCTGCCCTGGGTCGAGCGACACGGGACTAATTTCTCTTCTAATGCTGGGGAAAACTGCACTTTTAGAAGACTCCAGTGTCTAAATTAATGAAAATATTGACTTTATACAGCCAGCTATGGGATTTGAGATTCAAGGTCTAAGCGTTTTTAAGCCTTGCCCATTGTAAGGACAAGGAGGAGCAAGGCCTGGGCATTTGACCCAGGGTGGCCAACAGGATCATTTCATACCATGAACATCACATTTGAGGTAAATTAGAAAGTTTGCTGTATGGCTCTCTCTCCCTTGATGGCATCGGTCCAGAGAACTCACCCTGGTGCTGGACCCCTGAGCCCTTCCCATCCTCCCAAAGCAGGGTCTGACATTTGTTGTCCCCTGCTGGGAATGCCCAGCTTCCTACTGATGAAACAGGTTAAGGATAATTCTTGTATATCTTCTATTAATATGTGAATTAATATTGGTTCTTTACTATTATTTTTAATTATTTACTCTCATCCTAATAAATCTATCTCTATTTCAACCCTTGTGTTTCATTCCTTTCCCCAATTCCCCTTTCCAGGTGGGGAGGAGTCATCAGGTGACACAATAATTGTCTAAATGACAATAAACTGTGATGGGTTTTCTCAAACCATGACACCTGCTGAGATAACCAACAGCCATCCCCTGTCCCAACGTCTCTCAGGAGAAGAACACGTTCACATTCTGGACCAGATCCATCCCTCTATTTACAGCTGGAAATCTCCCCCAGCAGAAGTGCTACCAGGATCCCAATAATGCCTCAAAACAAGGGAAGAGCCTTTCCACTCTATCTAACAGCTTTGCTGTCCTATATATCTGGGAATAATTGATTGGATTAATTCACTCCTAACGTTAGGATGCAGAAATTCTACTCAGCTCTTTGTTCTTCTGTTTCCCTGACAAGATGTACAGACTCAGGCTCCGGCGACGCTGGAGTAGATGTCATTTAATTCTAAAAAACATTTAACACTCACAGGCATTTTTAAAATAACACAAAGAAATCTTCATCCTAAAACATCCTTCTAACCAGAAATTGCCCCCACAACTGTGAAGAACACTTTCTGATTAACCTCTTGAACACTGACTACTCCGAACGAACACGAGTGCGTCATATGCCATGAAATTTCAATTTGCAGCCTATTTTAATGTGTGTAGTCGGCTACTTTCAATTGATTTTCTCTGTCTCTCTCTCTTTTTTTAATTTTTTTTTTCTCCAAATACTTAGGGTGACTACTTTTTCCTTCCTGAATTTTGAGGTGTTAACTATTTTATAGCGGAAACATCCTCTTCTTTTTTTTTTTTTTTCCCTTTGGGTTTTTTTTTCCTCCCCCAGCCACTGCTTCTGGTCACACACCATCAGCGTCTAGCAAAACCACATCTTAATGCATACACTCGGGGAAAGATTAATAAATAGAAGGAAGTTAATTTAAAACATCAGCCAGCCCTGAGCGCTTCTGCCAAAGAGGACAAACTGATTGCTTTTTTAAAAGCTCAGTCGAAAGGTTCAAAACCTACCGGGGCAAAATTTAATTCACATTTTTTGCTCATCGCAAGCCACAGCATGTTACAGGCAGCAGCAGGAGAAGGTGCAATTTTCACACAAGTCACTTCAAGGAATTAGAAACACAGCTTTCTGCTCCATTCTCACATGCTTTAAGATATATATGAAATGGCCTCGAAATGTGTGTCTGAAGCAAAAAAACTGTCAGACACAACTTAAGAGATCTGACTCAGGAGTCACCCCATCGCTTAAACTGACACAGATTTCATGACCCAAGTTGGGTTTCTGCTGGTTTGGGAGGAAGAATGTGTTCCACAAATGTTCCTTTGAAAGAGAACGGGGTAGCACCAAATAAAAATCTCACCTTCCCATCTGTAATTATTTCAGAAGTGACACTCATCTACCGAACAAGATCAATTTGAGAAGGAAATAAGAAGACACGACAGGTGTCTCCTTTTGTCTCGCTTTTACTCAGTGAATTCTGATGCACCCCACTGGAGATTAAAGGAAAGAGACTTCAGAACCAAAGGTCCTTAGTATTCGAAAGCCAAATTAGCCCCAGCATCCACAAGCTCATATTGTACGGGCACGGAGCAAGGCTGTGCACACTCAGACATGCTTTTTTTTCATCTCAGAGCAGTTGCAATTGCCTAAATAGCATCACACTAGCAAAAAACTCAGAAGGAGCATGATTTTGGCAGCTGAAGTGCAAAAAAGGGCTCAAATTCCATTCCGTTTCCATTGCAGTGGACTATAATCCAAGCAACTGAATGAATCTCAGATATTAAATAAAATATTTCTCCAATGATGCTGAGGTGGGAAGCAGGGTGCAAGGAAGAGGCTGAGATGAAGAACAAAGATGGCTTGGGGTACCTGGTGCTGAAATTTGGAAGGATCCCGACTGCTGACGGGGACCACGCTCCCGTAAACGTGCAATTCCCGGACAATGGAAACTCCTCCCTTCAGCTCGGGCCGGAACGACTCCTCCGAACATTTCCGCAGCCGCAGAAGGCCAACGAGGATATCCTGCTCGGGGTCTTCATAGGAGAGGAAGGTCTCCCAGCCCCCGTTGGCCACGTAATCTCTTCGAACCAATTCAATCTGGGGGAAGAGAAGAAACGACGCCGGATACGAAAAGGAAAAGAGAAAGGGAAAACTTCTTTAAAAATATTTAAGCAACATGTTGAACAGACCAAAACCAATTTCATGGATCCATAAACTATTATGATTCAGAGAAAACACGAAGTGCTTTCTTAAAGGCCAATTTAATTCCAGATGGATTTCAGCAGCACTGGGTAAGCACTGCTGCTACTGCAGTCATATTAAAGATAAACCATGCGACTACTTGAACAGAAGTGTATTTGCCAAGGGGACAGGACCAATCTTCTACCCCTGTTTGCCAGCTCTCCAGTAGCCTGGTGACCCACGTGGTTGCCTCTTTGTAAGTCAGAAACCTAAACCCTATGTTTCTTGAGTTACTCCAGTTTCATAATCACTGCAAGATGAAGAAAAAGGGGTGGAAAGGGTAACTCTTGCCACTAATTAAGGGACTTGCTCTAATTGAAATTCATCTCCAGTTACAAAGTCGCCATGCTCTTCTCAGTACTACTCTAAAGACCAAAGCAAAGGACCTCGGTATTTTTTCTGCAAATTCTCTAATACCCAAAAATCCATGAATTAAAGATTTGTTTACAGAAAAGCCACAAGGGATTCTGTTGCCTGTCTCCTCCACTCCACAACAAAGCCTCACAATTAAATCCCTTGCTGATTACAGAACAAGGCTCGTTTCAAGGCTGACGTCCAGCGCCCAAAGCAGACGTCTGCCGATGTGCCGAGTTCTCCAAGAGCACAAACTCCTCTCCAGCTTGTGTGTCAGGACAGCTGACATACTGATCCACATGGATGATCACACAGGTTTAGGATGGGAAAAATTTCTTCCCTGAAAGGGTTGTCAATCCTTGGAAGAGGCTGCCCAGGGCAGTGGTGGGGTCCCCAGCCCTGGAGGGATTGAAAAGCCGGGCAGACGTGGTGCTGAGGGACATGGGTCAGTGGTGGGTTTGTCAGTGTTGGGTTGATGGTTGGACTTGATGATCTGAAAGGTCCCTTCCAACCTGGACAATTCTATGATTCTGTGAGATGGTCAAAGCCTTCTCCTTCCGTGATATTGATATAAATGTGACAAACACCACCCTGAATGCCCTCTGGGTGGCTGGTGCACAGCAAAGTGTGACACCATGGTCCCCAGTGTCAGTCCCTGGTCCATAATCCATCCCATATGCTGGGTAGGAACCTCCCTCACCAGTGTGGGTCAGCATTTCCGTGTGGAATCCTACCACATCTCCAGCACAGCCTGTTTGAAACTTACTTTGACAAACAAAGGGAAAATCCAGTTGCAGATTACACTCTTAACCTAAAACAGCTACTCTCAGCTTAAAAGTCTGCCTTATTTCCTCTAAGGCTCTATATTGTGATCATTACCTTGATACAAACCTCCGACTTTGCAGGAACAGCAGCTTCTACATCTTACACTTTCTGCCTTAACATGAATGTGGGTTCATATCCGTAACGGAGCTGTCGTTGCCCCTCGTCTTTCCAAACCCATCAATCCAATCGCTCCTCCCAGCCACAATTTTCTAGAGTGTTTTTAAGGCTATTTCATAGCACACCGTGGCCTCAACCATCCTGAGAGCAAGCAAATACCTTCTGCTGCGATGGAGAAATGCCACCAATTGGAAAGGCAGCTTAGAGACAGCTCTGGAAATAGCCAGCTACAGGCAAGTAATCTACTTCCAATTGATTTTGTTAAAGAAGAAAAACCACCCAACTTTTAAGAGCAGACACATCATCGCCATTATAAAATTACATGGAGCCCACTGATCCTTAACAGAAAGAAGCTGCACAAAGTGTAACTAATTACAGCAAGCGATTAATTCATTTCTGATCCGACATGATAGCCTCTCTTATCAAGAGGATGCGTTGTTTACTTATGAAGCCAAGGAAAACATCCTACCTTGTCATTAGTCTAAAGCGCATGAAAAATTATACCATCCCCGGAATATTTCTCTTGCTCTGCTGTCATGATAAATTTTGCTAAGACTACATAATGACATCCTCCTGCCACTCAGAGAGATGAGTTTAACAAAGGGAATTTTCAACATAATGTTGCTTTGAAAACCCTGTGATAAGCTATTTGCTAACTACTCACGAAATTTACAATTTAAATTAGATTAGCGCTGCCGACAATAGGCATCTTTGGAAGCTATTTCGTGAGATGACCGCAGATTAGGTAACACGTAGCACAAAGGCGACACGGCCTAGGTACAAATGGGTCTGCACAGCCCCAATTCTGGCAGAAATTCGGTAAGAACAAGGTAATTTCTTTGGGATCATTATACATTTATCTAGGTTATACCCAGTTATGCACGATGGGAAGTACACTCCCACAACGGCAGGAGAAAACCAGACTACGACTCCCAGTGATCTCTGATTTGCAAGTGAGAACATCTTTCAGATGCTGAACTTGGAGAACATTCACAGAATCACAGAATTGTTGGAAGGGACCTTTCCCCTAAAGGGACCTTCCAGGTTGGAAGGGACCTTTAAGACCATCTAGTCCAACCATCAACCTAACTCTGATAAAACCCATCACTAAACCATGTCTCTAAGCACTATGTCAACCTGTTTCTTGAACACCTCCAGGGATGGTGCCTCAACCACTGCCCTGGGCAGCCCATTCCAACGTGCAACAACCTTTTCAGTGTAAACATTTTTCCTAATATCGAATCTAAACCTCCCCTGGCACAACTTGAGGCCATTTCCTCTTGTCCTATCATCATATCCATCAAACTCTGAGCCTCTTTGAAGCCTAAATGATCAGTGGGGCTTCCAAAGGAAGAGAGGACCTCTGTCAGGAACCTCTATAGAAAGCCTAACTCCAGTTATTGGCTCACATTCACCAAGAAAGGTCGGACCAGATGATCCTTGAGGTCCCTTCCAACCTATGATTCTATGATTTAGAGAATGGATATGTGTCCATTGCAGAGAAGAGAGAGGGGCACGTGTCATTCTGATTCACCTTTTTACCTGGGGATGGCAGTATCTTCTGCCTGGAACAAAGAAATCTTGTTTGAAAGTAAAGGAGATCTACATGGGCACAAACTTGAATATAAGAAGTTCCACCTAAACATGAAGAAAAACTTCTTTCCTGTGAGGGTGGCAGAGCCCTGGAAGAGGCTGCCCAGAGAGGTGGTGGAGTCTCCTTCTCTGGAGACATTCAAACCCCACCTGGACACGTTCCTGTGGGACCTGCTCTGGCAGGGGGTTGGACTAGGATGATCTCCAGAGGTCCCTTCCAACCCCATGTGATTCTGTGATACGATGGACAAATCCACAATCATTTCAAGTCCTTCCTTAATGTCAACAGAGGAAGAGAATACTTCTGGTGTGTGATTTATTAGTCACAGTATACATGTAGGCTAAGATGGATCCAATCCTGTATGATCTTAGGAAGTTCATCTCCTTGGGTGCCATACATGGCCATGGACCTCCTGACAGCTCTCTGGAAGAATTGATCCCTCCTTCTAACTACAGTGAGCTGGAGGATTAGTGTCCTAAATTGGCTGCTTGAAGTTCAGCTGGACGTGTTCTTTTCTATAAAATAAGCCTAGAAATCTTTTTGTGGACTATTTTAGGAAGGAAAACCACAACATGTCAAATGCCAAACGGATCTACTCACCTATAAATATATATATACACGTGCAGAAGTGTATTTATACATATACTGTTTGCTTATACACACGTGCACATTGACAAAAAAGGCTGTAAATTCACCTTGCTCAACGCTCCTTCCTGTTCAGCATCCACACACTCTGCTTTTGGTATTTTCCAAATCCCAGTTTTTAACCAGGAGTGGGAAAAGGGCAGGGGGAGAAGCAGTGAGAAAGAGCTGCTCGGTTTGTTGTAGCAGCAGCACAAATACCAAAATAACTGCTGGCTGCAGTCAGTTTATTGAACATGGTGGTCCATAAATTTCAACATGTGACTGTGCTCAAACAAAAGACATCCAAAGCTGCTGCGAAAATAAATGGAAAATTGGATCCAGCTACAAAGGGAAACCGCAGGATTGGACAGGCAACAAATGGGTCCCAACGCCTCCACACCAAACACATATAACAAATTGTGTCTGAAACAAGCTCTTAGGAAAAAAAAAAAAAAAAGACAAATCTTACCTGATATGGTCTCACTTTATGGTGAATTTCCTGAATTCCAACCTCTCTTGTCCTTACATCACGACACTAAGAAGAGAAAAGAAGGGGGGGGGGGTCGGAAATTACATAGGAGAAAAACATTAAGCTCTGAAACACACAGATTTCCAGCCACCCATTGGGTTCAAAACTCAACTGTAATAGCATGAAGTTGCACGGATGAATTTCAAATGGGCAGGCTTCAAAATAAAAATGCTCACCGATCCATCCCTAATACACCTCAGAAAGAGGTCTTAGTGCTAAATGGAAAGACATGCTGGCAAAAATCAATTCACTAAGCGAGCATTATGGCTCATGAGGAAACGCACCCTTTGATTCACAAACAGCAGGGTCTGGAGGCAAAGTCAACACACAGGATGGAATAACAGAGGAAAAAAAGACTTGGGCACAATCCATTTTTACCCTACATCAGGAAACGTTGGCAAAATCTACCCTAAGGCACCAGAGACCCCTTAAAAAGACTGGTTTTGAATCTCAGCAACCCTATTCTTGCTTGTAAATGAGAATTGTTACAGAAGTCCTACCCAAATATCAGAAAGTAAAACTAACGCTGGTCTGGCGTCCACAGAGTTCACCAATGATGGGGAAACCAGAGAGAGCCAAAAGAAATCTCTCCTCCCTCAGAAGTCAGAGAGAGGAGGAGCCGAGGCTGGAGAGATGGGTTTTAAGCCACAAATGCTCGTTTCATCCCGCGAGGGAAGGAAGAGAACCTCCACCAACGGGCTAAAATTGCTCCAAAAGCAACAACATCAACCTGCCCACGTATTTCCAAAAGCCAGACTTGGAGGGGGCCTGGAGCAACCTGGTGTGGTGGGAGGTGTCCCTGCCCAGGGCAGGGGGTGGCACTGGATAGTTTTTAAGGTCCCTTCCAACCCAAACCATTCTGATTCTATGATTCTCTGCTTTACAATTTGCCATCTATACCAACAGCACATAAAAGGCAGACAAATATCCACGCCTCATGAAGAACTGAGAAAGGACAATGTATTCTAGGCTGATGCTTTAAAATTCTGTGTCCCAAATGCAGACATCCGCTTGCACTCGGTGGCTGGCAATCACAAAGGCATCTGGTCCCTCCAACAAGGTTTCTCAAGAAGAACTTCTTTCCAAGAACTGCAGACACAAGGTGCAGCGTTGACATGACCGATCCCCATCCCTCAAACACACTCCCCACCAACCCAGTCCCCAAAAATGGAACTGCCAGAGCTGCCTGATCTTTACTATTGAGCCTGCAAATACATAAGATTCCTACAAGTCCTTTCCTTGCCTTGGCCCTTTCCTCTCCTTTTCCAAGAGAGACAAGAGCATATTTATAGTTTTCTCCTATGACACAAGAAGAACACAGCAATACCTTCCATTTCCAGCTATATTGCAGCAGACTGTGTGGTTCCCCATTCCACCAGCTGCAGTGTTTCTGCCTCACTAAATTAAAATCTATAATCATCCGCACAGCAGAGATATTTACAGATTTGGTTCTTCTAAAAGCCACGAGTGCCAGCCTGACAAGCCCTTTAATGGTTCAGCTCAGCCCCGACTGCCCATGGCTCAGCCATCCCTGCTCCTCCAGCCTTGATCAGGTTCAGATCAAACCATGTGGTTTTAGTATCAAACCCGGGGAAGAGTTCACTAGTAGCCCTGAAGAGCTCGATTGAAAAGGCTCAGCTGCACCACGGAGGTTGTCTCCCCTGCCTGGTTTTGAAGTGAAAAGTCAGCGGGAGGGACGGAAGCTTTTTTGGCTGGCAAAGCTGCCTGCCAAATCCCAGCTCTCTACTGGAGACAGACTGGGAGGAACGATTTAAGGAGAACGTCCAGGGCATCAGCTTAGGAGAGATTAAGTGGAATGGAAGGGAGACAGCCTGAAGTTTGTCTTCTGATCTTTTGCACTGCGACTGCCAGATCCAAGCGAGATGGCAAAGGCAGCAAGGAGATAGTTGTAGCCTGGAGAACTATCCATGTTAAATACCAAAAATATAGGTCAGCAGCACAAGGTGATGTGGGACTCCAGGCACACAAGCTGAAGACTTTACTATTGCTGGATGCAGTAACGCCTTAAAACCTCTTTAAGGAAAGGTGAGCTGGAAAGAGGGAGGACTAAATCCCAACAGGGACAGACAGAAGAGTTGTGGCAAAGATCTGGCACTGCCTGAACACCAGGACACCAAAGCAATTAAAGCCCTTTGGAACAGTCTCAAGGAGCATGGGGTTTGGGTGATGCTTTGTCTAGGAGGAAACATCTCCAGAAAGGCAGAATTTGGGCATAACTTCACTAGAGGATTTGCAAACCGTGGCTGATGACTGGGTTTTGGAGGGAGGTTCAGACAGAGAGCAGTGTCAGCACAGACCGTGGGGGACACTGAGAATGATGACCACGGCAGTGACCTTCCCAGGAAAATCCAGACTGGGTAGAGGTACCTCCTCCTGACTTCAAATACAAACGCAATTCCTCCCTCCCCCTCCTCCTCTCCACCCCCGCTCATATTTTTATTTGACCTTAGAGATATCAAGAATATCAAGTCTCATTTGTTTGTGCTGAAATCTCTCTTGCAAGATTTCTCTGGCCTCCGACTAAGAGCTTCTCTTCCAATTGTTCCGTCAAATAGCTGCATGCGTGGGAAACAGAAAGGAAGGAGAAACTCTAATAGCACAAATTAAAAAGAAACCTTCCTGCCTTCTCTCCGATTTAAGGGTTTCATTCTGCTAAAAACCAGAATATCACAAACCAGTTACCAGGTACCTTCAGGAACAGGGCAAAAGTGCCCAACTAAAAATCAACCAAAGAAAAGCAGCTTTTCAGAACTATCATCAAGGTGCTTTCTAATCATTAACTTTTTTTTTTTTTTGAAAGACCTTTACAGATCATTTTAGTTCAGCAGCAAAGCTGGCTTTTATTGTGTTTTCTGGTCATTACTTTCCACTCTGCTCCTTTGTGTGAAGTCATCAAGCAGCTCTGCCTCGATACCAACCCACAAATACTTTACCTGTGTCCCAAAATCTTTCATCCTGGCCAAGGCGAGCTCCCTCAGGTTCCCGTGCTCCACTCCAGAGCTGACCAGTGGCATTGGGATATCTCTGCATGTAAGAGGAAAAAGAGAAACCTCAAACAACTGCATTAGCAGTATGTACACCATAAAGTACAATTATGGTCACCCAGGCCAAGATCCCAAATAGCAGCCACAGAACTTGGGGGAATTACCTTTGTTTCAACAAGAAATAACACAAGCAAAACACAACTAAAAGCAGGAGAAAAAACGAAGGGAAAAAAGCTACAGGTTTTACTTTAGTAAAAAGGCTTTTACAGTCTTGAGAAATAGGTTATAATTTTGCTCTCAGTTCTTCACTTGGAAGTCTGGGGAAAAAAAGGATCATCCAGCTGAGCCTGGGACTCCAGGTCAGATGTTCTTCATGGTGTCTGTTGCTGGAGACCAGCAATTGGGAACCAGAGCGCGTCGTCTCCGCAGTTTCCAAGTTGAATGTCCATCAGGGAAAATTCATCAGACTCAGAACATTTTTATACTGGGATGCAAAGTGCTTAAAAGTGAAAAAGTTCTGTTTAGCAAATGATTTGCGGCAAAGCCCGGCCAGAAAGTTTAGGGCCTTCCTACGGGAATGTAAATCACGAGTCTGCAAATGGCAGAGCTCCCTCCTTCAGTCCTCCAAGGGAGAAGTAAGAATTAATTAATTTTGAAGTAAGACCAGGTTTGGCCTCTCTGCTGCCTTTCAGGGCAGTTTGTCCCACTAGAGATTACGAAGGCAGGATACCATTCCTTAAGGAAAGGAGGATCTATGCATCCAGATCCAGCAGCAAAAGAAACATGCGAGAACATGAGCAACACCCACCTTCCATCGAAGGCTGGACTACACCAATTTGGTGATTTCAAATGCTTTTTCCTCTCCCTGCTCAAACTCCACCCTGGCAGCCCTGATAACGCACCACCCAAGGGCACCCCTGTGTAACCCAAACCCCTCAGATCTTCTAGAGGACTATACAACTATGAAAGATACTCGGTAATTTGTACGACCAGGTTGGTCTCCAACCGGGGCTCAAACGTTCCTTGGTGAGTATTCCTCCTTTTTCTTTATCTATGCAAGCATTCAGCAGAGTAAAGAACAGAATATCACAAAAAGCCATGCAGAGAATGGAATGGTTCAGGGAATTGGTAATGTAATTAACTTAATCCATCTTGGTTCAGTAGCGATTGAAAGTCATCACCATCTAGCAGCTGTCTCATGACCTCTGGAAAATGTATTAATTGATCTATTCAGTTCCTCGAGGACTTGCATTCACACCACGGCCCCCATTAACAATTACTATTTTTGGCAGTAGCTGTATGAAAGATAAAGGTCTTTAAGGGTCCTAGAGGCCTGATCCTTGTGCCTCTTCAACCTTGCAGAAGTCTGAGACACTGGCAAAGGCGGGCAAGAAAAGGATTTTTTTTCCTTTACTGTTGAGAATGAAAACACAGGGCTTCAAGACTCCACGATTCTCCTCCCATTTCAGCATTGTGCTCCAGTTCTGGCACAACTTTCTCCAGTATAACACAGGTCCTGTGCTTTCCTTTCCTTCCCTGTTTTCCCTCCGCTTCCTTCTATAAAGCCAAAGGGTCTACCCTTCCTCGCCTCTTACACTGGCATGCCAAAAAACTCATTGCAAAAGACAATTAGCTAACCAGTTCATTTATTCAGTGGATCTCTTTGAGTAAATAAGACACTGCAGAGCCAACACAACATACTTCAAAGAGCTTCAATTAGGGGAAATGAGCACTTCACATTGTGACTAAAGGACACACCAGAGGAGAAGGGCATTTTCGTCAGGGTATGTTAGATCTCCAGTGATAATCTCACCAAACGCCTTTCTTCTAATTATGGAACGGCTCCAAAAAGTCAGGCCGTATGTATTTTCCCCACAGGGACACAGATAAAACATCCTGACATCTTCCAGTACCAGGTCTTTAGCTAAATCCAGTGTCTGCTATGAAACAGTAAATTAAATACCGCAAATAAAAGACAGATTACAACGTACAGTAACGCGAGCCTCTCTCATCTGCCTACTGGGGAGCAAAGTAAATTAAAAAACGAATGTGAAAAATAAGCTTTTTAAGAAAAAGAAAGCAAGAAATAGGTTTTCCATCCCCACTTCAGATCAGGGCAGAGTATCTTAATAAGTACCCTGTGTGCATTGAGTGCACACACTAACTGCCAATTTTGAATGGCCACAAGACAGCACTGTACCAGGGATTTTAGGACTCGTTAAAATGCTAAACAAATTCAGGGATACGGGGGATTAAATCCTGACCTTATTAAAGTTAATGTGCAATTGGCCAGAAGCTTCAAAAGGGCCTATTTAATCTATTTTTCAAACATTCTGCATGACTTAGGACACTCGCGAAGCAGCTGATTGAAACGCGGAGTCAAAGTCTAAAGACCTCGGGTCTGCTCTCAGCTCTGACTTGTACGATCTCAGTTGAATAAGACATTTTATCTCTTCATACCTACATCTCCCCATCAGTACGGTGAAAATAACATTTAACATAAAGCACCGAGATCCATGAAAGAAAAAGGTCTCAAGGTGCACGGTGCTACTCCTGTCATTTCACACCTTCTCACGCACCAAAGCACCTCGCTGCTAATGAGGTTCACAAACATTCAGGATAAATACAGTATTAAGCATCTCTGACAGTTACAAAACACCCTGGAAGATATATTCTCCTCCATCCAGCCATTAGCAACAGCATCTCTTTTTTTTTTTTAAAAAGAAAAAACATATTTAACCTGGTTTCCTGAAGCAGAAAGACTCATGCAGTGTTTTGTCAGTGACACCTCAGATTGGATATTAGGAAAATTTTTTACATTGAAAGGGTTATTAAGCATTAGAATGGGCTGCTCAGGGAAGCAGTTGAGGCACCATCCGTGGAGGTTTTCAACAGATGGGTTGACATAGTGCTTAGTGACATGGTGTGGGGTTTTTTTTGTATGATTTTCTTTGAATTTTTTTGTTTTATCAGAGTTAGGTTGATGGTTGGACTAGATGATCTTAAAGGTCCCTTCCAACCTAGATGATTCTATGATTCTACGACTCCACCCAACTTGTTAAACTGATTATTTTGAGCATGCAACGGACTACAAAAAACCTTGAGTCCCTTATGGATCTGCAAAGCCTGGTCCCAGGGAACAGAGATCCCCAGAAGTGGTCCTAAAAAGGAAAGGCATAAACAGCTCAGTCTTCCTCAGGTGGCGTTTGCCAGAAAACCTGAACTCACACATCAAACGACGAGTTGTTGGGATAAGTTGTCATCCAGGGCACAAGCTGAATCTGAAAGGATTTTGGAAACAGAGCCTGAAATGCAAGACGTGAAGGATGGAGGAGTTGTGGCAGCAGGCCAGAGGGAGACAGAAAGGACCCGAGGCAGCCACGGAGAAAAGGAAAAAAGTCACCGTCCTCAGCGAAGCAGTGTTGGGAAGAGGCCCCCAATGTTTTTAGAGATCTGGCTTTGTTCATTATTCTGTAACAAAGTCACACAATGGCCCTGAAAGCAATTTAGATGAAAGTAATAGCTTTTGGATTTTGCGCTGGAGGTGTAAAAAATCTGTAATCACCAGGAACGAGTTGCAGATAACACGAGCCCGTCAGTAAGAAAACAGCTATTCCACTGGAACATAATAACTGACAAGAGGATGACAGCTGGATGGAACCTGCTGCTGGTGACAGGAGAAATCATAGTCAAGCTCAGGCAAATGAACACACCAAGCAGAGAGTTTTCCAGGCCCCTGTTCCTTAGGAGAAGACCCACTAAGCTCCAAACTCAGGTCATCCTCTAAGAATAAACCTCTTTGGTTTATTCATCATGAATGAACAGGTCGTTGTGTCTACAGGGGAATCAATGAGGAAGATGATGATGTGCAGGGTGAAAAGAGAGGAGTTTTGCCTTTAATAATGCTTCTGCAAGTGATGGAAGTGTTCAAGACCAGGCTGGACAGGGCTTTGAGCAACCTGGTCTAGTGGGAGGTGTCCCTGCCCAGGGCAGCGGGTTGGAACTGGATGGTTTTTAAGGTCCCTTCCAACCCAAACCCTTCTGTGATCCTATGATGTGAAAAGTCTGGGGGAATATCAAGTAGAATTTGCCCATAAGCCACAGTTTGCCACCTTCACGAGCATCATATCCTTACTCTGAGAGTTCAGCTACAACCACCAGTTTCTCAGAGTAACATAGATCTGAAGAAAGGATCTCCTGGTCACTGAAACCATGTCTGTTACTACAGATGCTGGAGTGCAATCCCATTCATAAACCTACTTAAGCTTCACCATACTCATCTTTAGCTTCTCTTCCACGTTGATAACTTTGGAAACCTACTCTAGAATCTCAGTCCTGACTGAAAACTCCCAGCTTCCTGCCTCATTTTATGTAAGGCTACTTCTTTTTTTCTTGCTTTCTGTCCAAATCAATGTTCCCATTTCTTAAAAGGTTATTTTCCTTCTCTTACAGATTCACAGAGGTCATTTATGTCCACGTCTATTCTTCAAACAAAAGACTCATGCTCCTCTGCACATATTTCTACAGTTCATTTTCTTGAAGATGGGGAATATTCCACACAAGGTCTTACCAAAGCCTTGTTCAGCTGCTGCATTAATACTCTCGACTCTAAGAAGAGTTATCCTGAAAAAAATGCTTTTCATGGCTGCATCTACCAGTGGCTTATTTTTATTGCAGACCAAGACATTAAGAACTTTTCCTCCTCTGCTGTTTTCACGTTGTGATCTCGTGATTCACAGCAGAACCCCCTCTGAGTTTGACCTCCAACTTCCCCAAACTGCAACTCATCCCCTCCCAAACCTCCCTGAACTGCATCTCATCCCCATCACTCCAGCTTCAACCACCACCAGATCCTGCTGGTTCATTCTCTCTCTTTCAACGGTGCTTCCCACCCCTGCAAGGTTTCCTCAGTGCCCTATTACTTTTCATGTCACTGTAAATAAAGACAATTTTGAGGAAGATTAGTTTTTGAATGGATGTTTGAGAAACTCCACTAATAATCCTGAGTCTTTCTTTGTCAAAGCTACCTTGAGTTCCTTGCCTTCAGCTGCTTTCTCCTCTCACATGTTTCCCTGCTTATCCCTCTGCTTATCTGCTTTTCCCTGCTTATTTCTGATAGGGCATGAAGTCAAATGCCTTAGAGAAGTCCAGGCAGGTGAGATCTAATGCACATGGGCTCCCTCATTCTGCACACTCTTAGAGAGCGAGGTGTTGGCACCGTTTCCAGCCCGTGTAGCTGGACGCCAACTGGGTATTGTCTACACATGCAAAAATGGGCAAGTATGCTCTAGCCTCCCTGCCTAGGATCAGACTGAGGTAGGAGATAACAGAAGAAAAATACTCCGAGGAAGACCCCACACTGAAAATACAGGGCTAAATGGAAGTATTATCTATCGTCCTGGGAGGTGAGTGCTGGAAATAACGGTGCAACCATTGCGTGTTTCTGAAAACCCCGCAACACCCACGGGGAAAGAAAGGAAGTCTCTCTAGCCAAGAAAAATGACACACCTGGCAGCTCCTGCAATAAATATAGGAAACTTCACCCACAGTCAAGAGGCAATTATCCATCAGTATCATTAAAGTACTACGTGTGCCACATCCTATGTTCTTGTCTGACAGGCGGCGAAACGAGTCCTCCAGAAACCGTGAAGTTTCTGGGCGCATTAGAGAAGCAGCTCAATTGAAACAGCTTCTCATTCCCCTTGGCATTTCCCATTCTGAACAGAGAGGAAGCAATTTCAAAAATCTTTAAGTGCATTAACGATTTAAGGCTGAAAAAATAATAAAAGGCTGAGTCAGACCTTGCTGTAATTAAAGTAAGACTCCCTCCAAGTGCGATAAATCAATATATAATGCCCACCGCAGAAAATTACCTCTGAACTCGGTACACACGTGTCCACGGTGGGACAAGGGCCAGGATTCTGGCCACCAGATCCACAAGGGTGCTGGGGGGGTAGCTCTTGTATCTTCCAGTCTTCCAGAGCTCGTACAGACCAGTGCCACGGATCACCAACGTCGGATACAGCTTCATGCCATCGGGGCGAAAAGCAGGATTCTCAAAAAACTCCTGCAAAAGCAGAACAAAAAAACCCCACACAAGTCAGAGCGAAACAAACTACATTTCCTGGGGCTTCAGCACTCCAACAAAACTAATTTCAAGACAGATTTTGTAAAAGACAACAGTAAGTACGTTTTAAGAATTAATGGCTTACGCTGAGTTGCCAGTATTTATCGGTTTGCGATGTTTTTTGAAATAAAAGAGCATATTCTACATTTAAAGAGAAGGCCACAGAAGGAAAAAAAAATCCACCTGACAACGCTACGAGTCAAATCTGTACGTCGCATCTACCTTTCAGCACGAATTCAATAGATATCGCCCCATTTATTGTAACAGACTCTGCTCAGAACTAGAACAATAGAAATGAGTGTACTTATCTTCCATCTCAGCAGACCACATTTAGAGATTAATCAATGTGTCTGGGACACATCATTTGAATAGCAATGAAGAAAAACAGATTTATTCTACAATGATGTGCTGAACAATCCCGGAGAAGGGGAGGACAAAATGTATCTCCTGCTAACTTCTGTGACTAAATCCCAGCACAGAACTGCCAATCGAACAGCACCAGCTCACATCACACAACAATCGCTCTGGGGTTTTTTTTCAGACAAAATTTCAATAGCAACAATTAAATAAAATCACTTGTAAAAAACCCCAAAACCAAGCAAGGTACCCTGAACCCAGCAACTATTAAACTGGCTTAAGTGATGACCTGGCTCTCTGTTGAAGCACTTCAACACATTCAGCACTGGAAGGACATGGAGCTGTTGGAGCGGGGCCAGAGGAGGCCCCAGAGATGCTGGGAGGGCTGGAGCCCCTCTGCTGGGAGGGGGGGCTGAGAGTCAGCCTGGAGAAGAGAAGGCTCCACGGAGACCTTGGAGCCCCTTCCAGTCCCTCAAGAAGGGGGGCTCCAGGAAAGCTGGGGAGGGACTCTGGATGAGGGAGGGGAGCCACAGGAGAAGAGGGAATGGTTTTAAACTAAAAAAGGGTAGATTCAGGCTAGATATAATGAAGAACTTGTTTGGTGTGAGGGTGGTGAGAGCCTGGCCCAGGTTGGCCAGAGGAGCTGTGGCTGCCCCATCCCTGGAGGGGTTGAAGGGCAGGTTGGAGGGGGCTTGGAGCAACTGGTCTGGTGGGAGGTGTCCCTGCCCAGGGCAGGGGGTTGGAACTGGATGGTTTTTAAGGTCCCTTCCAACCCAAACCATTCTATGATTCAGGTGGCTCAGACCCACTCAGACATTTTGCTAGGTTTCCCACCACCTGTGTGTGTCACACCAGCTCCTGGAGCACTCCCAGTAAACCCTGGTGCTGGAATAAAGTGCCATCAGCAGCCTGCTGGGAGCAGGACCTCCCCGCGTGGGCAGCACTAAGTGGCTCTCTTGGCTTCCCTGGGCTTCACAAACCCAGACTTCAACACGATAAAAAGCAGCAAATGGTTTGCTGCCGGCTCAAGCACACCAAAATGGACCTGCACGGACTCGAACACGCTGCTAGACCCAGCACAAGGACGGGAAGAGGTCAGAGAAACGGCAGGACACGTCAGCCCAGGCCATTTCTGGCAGAATCCCTGCCTGAGCTTGGGGCCAGGTCCAGCATCCTCTGCCCCTGCACACCCCCACTCCTGTGCCACCCTGTCTGCCACGGAGAAAACAGACCAGAGAGCTAATCCCACTGAAAAAAGAACCCAGTTAAATTTTCTTTTCTGGGCAAAGCAGCCTCCTGAGCCATTCGTGCCCGTCCCCACGCATGGAGATGGCAACAAAGGAGCTTAAGAGACAAGACAAGACGTGGATTGTGGATAAAACCCATGCTGCTGCTGCAAAATTAACTGTCAAACCCTGCACTCATGGTCTGATGAAGCTTTGGCCATCACCATCCCAGCAGCGTTGCTGGCTTAGAGACCAGCATGTCCCAGATGGCCCCATAAGAAAAAAACAAAACACCAAAAACAACGAAACAACACAAAGGGTAAGTTTCAGTTTTCAATTTTGCAGGGTTGTTTTAACTGGGATGAACTCCCCGACCGGAGTCACCTGCAGCTTTGCAGAACAGCTGTGCTGAGACAACCCCATCAGGGCACAGCCTCGTCGCGTTCACCTCGTTAGAGAACTGCTAAACAACGTGGTTCTGGCAGAAAGTGAGACCCACGTTCTCCACCCTCAGACTTCAGGAGAAATATCTAACTCATTTCTCCTCCAAAAGTATCCAGGGCACAAGACCAGCCATCCCAGAGAGGTAACACACCTTGTATCCCATTGAGCTCTAAAGTAAATGGTTTACAAAGAAGTTGGCCAAAGGCGGATAAAGACAGATGACCTTGGACCCTGGTGTCCAGGTGCTCACTCTGGAGCGTGCGTAGATGTGAGGTTGGTCTCCTCCTCTCCTCGGGTTTGTTTACATGCTCTATAAACACCCCTGTTCGTCATGAATCTCCCATCACCACCACGAGACGCAAAACCATACTTATCCTGCCAGCTCCGTGAGATAATAAAATCATCATCCCCACCTCTGAGGACTGGACAGAAATGGTTTATTCAGAGATGGTTTGTGCTGCGGCTCCGCAAGCAGCAGATGTGATGGCTCCCTGCCCTGCCCACGCTTCCAGCCACACCGTCCTGCTCCCAACCTCGTGCCAGCTCTGATTCCTGATGGACCCTCGACCAGGATGACTCACCTCACCGATGTGAGACAACCCAACGTGCATTTTGAGGAGAGCTCTCTGCTTTTGTTCCACAGTTGGGCTGGATTACAGAGCACAACTGATGAATCACAGAGTATCTCCAGTTGGAAGGGACCAATAAGGACCATCAAGCCCAACTCCCAGTAAGTAAGGTCAGAAATAGGATCTGCCCCTGTGGGTCAAGCAGGGAACTTTATCTCTGATGAATGCACCTCTTGGAAGAACATGTCCTTCCTTCTGCCCCAAGGGTTCCGTTTGACCTTAGAGGTCAATCATATCCCTGGTGGTTGTCAGAGAAGGTAGACATCGTAGTGATAGGACAAGAGGGAAGGGTTTGACACGGAAAGAGGGGAGATGGAGCTGAGATGTGGGGAAGAACTTGTTTGGTGGGAGGGTGGTGAGAGCCTGGCCCAGGTTGCCCGAGAAGCTGTGGCTGCCCCATCCCTGGAGGGGTTCAAGGGCAGGTTGGAGGGGGCTTGGAGCAACCTGGGCTGGTGGGAGGTGTCCCTGCCCAGGGTGGTGGGGTGGGACTGGATGATCTTTAAAGTTCCTTCCAACTCAAACCATTCTGTGACTCTATGACTACTCTTACCACATCTTCTGTGCTGGCCCTGGTGTGGGTCTGATGCTCAAGATGCAAAGAGTGGGAAGGAAATAGATCCTTGGACTCATTTTTGAAGCAGGCAGCTGAAGCGGGCGTGCAATCCAAAGTCACACAGCGCAGGAGGTAGCGCGGGGTCAGAAAAATAATTCAGACTCCTGTTGCCCTGGAACAACCCAAAAGGATGGACTTCCATCTTTTGTGGGTGGTTAGAGGCGCTCTAATGTAAAACAAAGCAAGTGTGAAAGAAGGAATAAGGAAATCGTGTACGAGGTGATTGTTCTAACGAGAGGAGCCCTACGGCCAAGCGGCGCCGAAGGAGAGAAAGACATTAAGGCAAGGAAGCAATGATGCTTCCCCAATGAGATACAGAAAAGGTAAAGAAACCACTCCAGCAAGGCAAAAAGGCTTCTAGTAAGGTTGTGTGTTAATATTCACAACAATACCGAACGGAAGGCAAAAGCATGTGTGATTCACCAGGGGGAATATTTAAACACGAGCTGATTTACATTGCAGATTAAAGGCAGGCACCGACACAGCGCCGGGGTTAACGCCACCCAAGCAGCCAAAGGCAAGGGCAGGAGTTAAGGTTTCTAATCACAACGTGAATTTTGCCACTTGGCACACACTGAGCATTTTACGTCAGTATGTTAAGCTGACAAAGCTACTTCGTATTCCAGCAATGCTGGCATTAAAAAAAAAAAAAAACCAACATATTTTTGTATTTATTCCTTTGACTATTTCGCAAAGTACTTCTGAAATAATTAAACTTGAGGAGTAATTAATTTCAATCAATATAGCAAAGCAGCATCTCCTTTCTTTCCTGAACCCCTTTTTTTCCAGCGGTAAACTTTAAATAGCTTCCGTAAATCCCAATATTTAAAGGCTTAACCTTTTCCCATTTACAAACAGTTTTGATTAAGTCTCTCGCGAAAACAAAGGAACTATAAACCGCCAACACGTGCCAAGCTTTAGCAAGAATTGTGGCCTTTTCTTTTTTTTAATTAGGCACCTTAAAAGGTGTCTTCGACTGATAAAAACGTTCGGAAGGGTTTACTGCCAAAACAAATCCAATCCCCAAAACAACATTCGTTCCGGAGACCACCATCCATGGAGTCAACAGGAGGCTTTCCATCAGCTCTCGCCAGCGCTCAGCCGGGGCTTAAATCCACGTCTCCTAACGCACCGTGAAGCTGGAGGTTAAAGATGACCAAGAGAAAAAGGATTCTTACGTATTTCCAGCCTTTTCTGAACCACTGGAGGACGCGGCGTAGCGCTCTCACATGCATGAATATTCCCAACGGAAGCACACGCGACTTCAAAGCCACCCAACCAATTTTCTCTGAACTTGGAAGTTTTCTCGCCTCCAGCTAAAGACTGCGAGCCAAGTGGCATTTAACACGTCTGCTATAATAAAGATGGATGCTAGAGTAAAATTTTTAATTTGCGCGCGTAGACAACGGGCAGGAAGTGAGAGATTAGCGTAGCAGTTTAATTAATTGTAATAAAAAAAGGAAGGGTCGATTCAGATCAGCTGAAACTTAAAACGAGCTGGAAGTTCATAAACACAGACCTTTTCGTACCCTAAATTACTGTTTCTCATAACCTTGCCCAATTTATGTGGCATTAGAGAAAAGTTGAGTACTTTTTACCCCAGTAAGTAATATAATGAGTAACCAGACAACCCTGGAATTCACAATTTTTTTTGCTCCACCTGAGCTCCAT